TCTAAATGGTCTTGCTAGCATTAATATTTTATCTAAAATAAAATACAGATTTACAAGGAGCTCTAATAACCATATATCAATAAATGATTTCTGTTATAGATAATCTACAGCTGTCATGTAGAAGAATAGTGAGTATGGCAGAAGGTAGCTTTCAAAACTCTTTAAGAAGTAGCCTAGTCCTGTAGGACATGGCTACACGTCTTCTTTCTTGCATTTCCCATAGCTCTACATGCAGACTTTTTGGGACTTACTTTTGATACTTCTACAAAATAACATCATTATCTTGAATTTTCCCTCCTAGTGGAAAAAATAGAAACAAACACATCCCTTACAGTAGACCTTCATTGATTGATGCCTACCATGTGTAAAGCACTGTGCTAACAGTCATGGAGCAGTACAGTAATGTGTCCTTCATTTTACTAAGATTTTGAGGCCTAAACCTTTACTAATAATTAAAAAAAAATTTAGTGTATATTTTATGAAATATATACATAATTCATATTTCTAGATATTTTAGATGGAAAACAACTGTTTGGCTTTATCTAAAAGAAAGAATTGCCCCAAATGGAGTGATTTATGTAGTGTAGGAAAATTGCTCTCTATATTTTATTTCTTGAAGTGGATAGTGGTTAAATAGCCATTCATTTTATAATTGTTTAAACTGTTCATATCTATATGTTATATTCTTTTCTGGTGGTTCATTATAATTTACAGTGAAAAAGGAGTGAGGGGAAAAGATTTTTCCAACCTGAAAATATCTTCTAGAGCAGTGCCTGAAATTCCATTGTGATCAGTTAATTATTTTAGTTAATATTTGGCTTCTCCTTTGCTTCTTTACAATGGAACTATTCTCTGGCCAGTAAGACATGAGAACGCAAGCCTTTTAGTGTGATCGGTTTGTCAGATCACCTCTTCTCCATAGCCCAGATATCTGAGCTAATGTACAAGGGATGTTTCTGAAAGGTGCTAGGATGGTGTGGGGGGAAAAAGGCTTGGAAAGGAAAACAGTAGTGTACATCAGCATCATGGAGAGTCAGGAAACCTCAATAATGGGGCGTTTGGGTGGCTCAGTCAGTTGTGTCTGACTTTGGCTCAGGTCATGACCCCGGGGTCCTGAGATTGAGCCCCATGTTGGATTCCCTGCTCAGTGGGGAGTCTGCTTCTCCCTCTCCCTCTGCCCCTCACCCCACTTAAACTCTCTCTCTCACAAATAAATAAATAAAACCTTTAACAAAAAAAGGAAACCTCAATAATGCATATCCATCTCTCTCACTTTGGCAGATTTCAGTAACCAACACAACCTAGCTTGACAGAATTGCTTACCTTTCTTCTCAAATGGTAGTGTGATAACATCTCACTAATTTGACCTAATTAGTTAAAATACGGTGTTTTAAAAGTATAGTTATTACTTTTAAGTGCACCTTTTGCAACATAAAGAAAGCTAATAAATATTTCCTAATTAGGGCTTTTTCAGAACTCTACATCCACGAATAGAAAAGCCTAAGTTATAGTTAGCAAATGAGTGTTATATAAGGGTATCCTTTAGAAGTACTCCCAGGAAGTTCATGCTTGTAAGTAGCTTTTCCCCCTGTAGTCTCTTTTCCTCATAACGTTTTTAAACCCCAGGCTTGTCCAGCTCACGTAGTTATAGAGAAGAGGAATACATATAAATAGATTTTTAGTTAGTAGTCCACTGTTTTGAATATAAAAGAACCGTGAATTAGATTGTATTACTGCCAATACCTTATTTATTTATGCTGTGTATATGAGAATTATATGACTGTTAGTAAAATAGTCTTGACAGTCAAACAATTTATTTTTGAAGAAGCCCGGCTAAACTGTTTCTGAGTGTTTGAGAGACAGCGTGTATGTGGGGTTTTTTCCTGAAATTCTTTTGGAAAAACATCCATCTTGTGCTTCATCTCAAAGATAGTAGGAAGGGAAAATGAAGGGGGGGATATCGGAGGAAGAGACGAACCATGAGAGACTATGGACTCTGAGAAATAAACTGAGGGCTCTAAAGGTGAGGGGGATGAGGGGATGGGTTAGCCTGGTGATGGGTATTAAGGAGGGCACGTATTGAATGGAGCACTGGGTGTTATACGCAAACAATGAATCATGGAACACTACATCAAAATAAATAAATAAATAAAGTAAGTAAGGAGGGCACATATTGAATGGAGCACTGGGTGTTATACGCAAACAATGAATCATGGAACACTACATCAAAATAAATAAATAAGTAAGTACGGAGGGCACGTGTTGAATGGAGCACTGGGTGTTATACGCAAACAATGAATCATGGAACACTACATCAAAATAAATAAATAAATAAATAAGTAAGTAAGGAGGGCACGTATTGAATGGAGCACTGGGTGTTATATGCAAACAATGAATCATGGAACACTACGTCAAAATAAATAAATAAATAAATAAATAAATAAATAAATAAATAAGTCCTTACTTATTTGATTCCAAAAATAAATAAATAAATAGGATGTTGTGAATAACCAGACATTGGTTTATTTAGAAAATATACATACATAGTTTGAAACTTTTCTATTTGAAAATATTCTTGGATTTGTCTGCCTGTTAATTAATTTTTTAGAAGATTCAGAGAGAAGGAAATGAGGCAAAAGTGTTAAAACACCCTCACTTTCTCTGAGGTGATCAGTTGTTAGAGTAAGAAAAGACTAATAATCAGTCTAAAGAGATGAAAAGTGAAGCGAACCTGGGCTTACCCTTAGGCTAGTCACAAAGGGCTTTGGTCCATGTGATGCTCACTTTACTCAGTGCTGCTTCCGTCGGTGTTACTGGCACTGGGTGTTGGGCTCTCCTGTGTTCCTTCCTCTCCTAGCCTGGAAAAACAGCCCCAGTTTAATATAGGTCCCTTCATTTACATTATGAATTAGTAATACCTACTGAAAATAATACCACATTTAAAAATATTTATTAGGAACAATAAAAATATTAACGTGGGGGCACACTTACTGTCTAGAGCCCCAGTGAATTAATCCCTCCCGCCACTGCCCCATGGCCATCCCACATGGAGTTCCACAGCTGAGAAGCAGCTCCAGCCCAAATCTGTGCCTGCAACTTTGGGAATCTGCTTTTGGGATTGTTGTTAATGGTTATGGCAGAATAGATGATGACCAGCCACTGCCGATGTCCCACGGCACACAGGGTAGTTCAAGGGACTGGTTTTGTCCCATTCATCATAGCTGGTGACGTTTTCTGTAGACTCCAAACTGCTTTTCTAATGCTTGGATTCTGAAGGTTGCTCCAACATGAATTTACCTTTAATGCCACATAGATCTTCAGGCTTACCTTTGCATTTCAGCATTCCAGAATACGAACAAAATTCAGATATTAAATCCATTTCTTATTATGATAGTTTTAGGAGCTCTTCGTTGAAACCACTGTTTGTTCTCTCTGTCCAAAGTGTATTCATTAGTGTTTATTTTTCCTGATGAGTTGTCAAACGTGCCTCCAAGTGTTCTGAAGAGGCTGTCTCTTCCAGTGGACCTTTAATTTACACTGACTTTTTTTTTTAAAGATTTTATTTATTTTGGGGCGGGGAGAGCATGAGCAGAGGGAGGGGCAGAGGGAGAAGCTGACTCCCTGCTGAACAGGGAACCCGACATAGCAACCGAGGACCCTGGGATCATGACCTGAGCCGAAGGCAGACATTTAGCCTACTGAGCCACCCTGGCATCCCTATTTACACTGACTTTTGAACTGTTTGAGGGTGGGGTGCAGATGGCACATGGAAGGCCATGTATCATGGTGGTTTAGAGCTTAAGTCTCTAGAGCTAGACTTCTCGGTTTCAAAGCTGGTCCCCTCACTCATGATCTGTGGGACCTTGGGAAAGTCCTGTTTTTCTTATTTTTAAAAATGGGGATAATATTAGTATCTACATTATATAGGATTATTTTGAAAATTATGTAAGTAAATAAAGTGCTTGGGACAGCACCTGACACATAGTAAGTGCTCAATAAATATTAGCTCTTAGTAATATTACAAACTCACCCCATGATTCAAAAACTGTAAGTGCTTAGTGGTGATTACATTTTGGATTGAAGGACTTGAACTCCGGACATAGTTCCTCAAGATGCTGCTCTCTAAACACACCTGCATGTCACACAGAGTTAATTGAACAAGGACTTTGGGCATCCCCTTGCTGGTCTCCCTTGTACTTCCCAGAGTGAGGCGCACACCATTTGAGAAGGGTCATCATCAGTCCTCACATGTCACCCCCGCAGGCTCATCAGCCTGTGTCCTGAGAATGGGATCCAGACTTCCTGGGTGGGCCTGGCTACTTAATCTTTATTTGGAGTCTTATTTCCAACATTGTGTCTGCTGGGGGCTCCCTCTGCTGGTACATCTAGCATGGATGTAAATATGTGGAATAGTAGCTTTTAAGCAGTTTTAGGCTTTTAGAGATGTTTGTATAAAAAAAAAACCCGCACATTTGAGAACTTTTTTTTTTACATGTGAGTGATAGAAATAACATCTCTATTACTCTTTTTTGCCATTTGCATTATGATTTGGAATATTTTTGGTTTGATTTAGAATGGGGGCTATCATGGCATGCCAAAAAACAGTCATTTCTTCACCATAGTTATCAGGGCCTGATTATTAGGTCTTACATACCAATATATAGTACTAAATATTTTAGAATCCTGTTTTAACAGTCTAAAGAATATCCATGATATGGGGACTTAGTTAACTCTTAAAGTTTCAAAAGGGCCCATTTTCAAGTGGTGTCATATCCTAGACCCCCTTGGACGTTGTTATGGTAAGGGCTTAGTACATGTCAGAGAATAGTACCTTAGATTTATTGGCTGATTCATTATTTATTTAGAATTATAATTTATCAATAAAATGTGCCATGATGTCCCTAAAGTTGCATTTTAAAATAACTTTTTGGCTTCTTTGTATTTTTTTTTTCACCACTATATCTTTTCTTCCATCTTTCCTTCCCCCTCTTTGCTGCTAGGATCAAACAGCATAAATCGGGTAACAGCAAATGTGGAAAATGGAGAAAATGAAGGAACGACTAAAATTATTGCACCTTCACCGATAAAAAGGTCAGTCGGTTAACTGAAAGAACACATGACGATATGCTGTCACAAAAATGCTTTTTCCTGTTGGCAAGGTGAAGAATCTTTTTACTTTGATAGTTAATACTTTTGATCAAAATAGTCTGTGAGCCAAAGAATACTTTAAAATGCCAGTGGAGGGGCGCCTGGGTTGCTTAGTCGTTAAGCGTCTGCCTTCGGCTCAGGTCATGATCCCAGGGTCCCGGGATCGAGCCCCACATCGGGCTCCCTGCTCAGCGGGAAGCCTGCTTCTCCCTCTCCCACTCCTCCTGCTTGTGTTCCCTCTCTCTCACTGTCTCTCACTGTCTGTCAGATAAATAAATTTAAAAAAAAGAATGTCAGTGGAATATAAACAACAGGACCTGCCTCTCTCATTTGAAGGAAATGCTCCTGCTGGCACAGCATGGTGAACTCACAGTCCGCGGTCTGCATTCTTGGCAGCGAAGGGAAAAATTCCACGTGATTGTTAAAATGGCATGATATCATGGGCTTACTCAGAGGGACCTGTGACATAAAGTAGATGATATTCATGTTTAATGTACTGTGTTCATCACCGCAGTGCACTGAACTGTGGCCCTGGGAAGAGGGCTTATAGCATTTAGAGGCGCAGGGCTTCCGAAGTCAGTGATTGCATATGTATGAAGAGTTGTCACGGTCCTCTGCATCAATTTTCCTAGCAGCATTCCCCAGCGGAAAGGCTTTCTCTCAATATATGACATGGATTGTTTCCGTGAAAGATCAGCCTTGTTCTCTGCTAAGACACTGTTTCGGCGTCAGTTTTTCCTATCTCCAATTATGTTCACGCAACAGCATTTGAGAAATACAATGAGCAGCTTTCATCAGCTCACTTTGTCTACAGCGATAGCTCCCCACATCATGGAGAAGTCCAAGCAGTCAGAAATACATGACCTTGACAGACGCCTTTGACCATCTGCTCCATCTTTTGTTAGTAAATAATGGTGTCTTCATTCAGCTGGATTGTGGCTACGTGGAGGAATACAGTTTATAATTTTCTAGCAAAAGAATTCTAAGATATGAGGATTCTCAGAGTTGTGGTGTTTTCCCCCGGGTTTTGCTTACATTTTCTTTTGTTTAGTTCGGGGACACTCCCTTTATGGATTCTATTTGGGATGCCAGGCTCTTTGCCTTTGTAGACACTTTAGTTGACCGTGCTTGCCTCAGTCAGCCTCACAGCTGTGGATAGAGTGTCCGCTTAATCTGTATGTACAGGGTACGCTTATGGTAAGTCCAACATAAGAACAGTAATCTGCCATGAAATTCAGATCCCAAGCCTTTTTAGAATGTACAGAAGGAGTTCAGTCCCCTTTACAACTGCATTCTTGCTGATAGGACTGATACCTGAAGGGCCACCAGATTTTCCCACTCAAGTTCCAGACGAGAAATGGTTTTGGGAGTGAATGCAATTAATCAGCCACCCAGGATTTCATTATTCTCTTTTGCCTGCTCTCCCATTTCCCCTTTCATCTCCCTATTGAATTTCTCAATTTCCCTCTTCGCTTTCCCCTTTTTTCTTTCTGATTTATTAAACACACACACTTTGTACTGTTGTATTAAGTACCTACCGTATTTATTCTCATGTCAAAAGTGAGATTTTACTTTGGGCATTTGATCTTCCAGAGATTATTTAAGTTTAATCAAAATAATGTATTGGTCAAAAAATAAAACCTACCTACTGTATGGTAATACCATGAATTAAGTGCCTATGTCAAATATATACTTCTAGGTTTATATTGATTTCTGTATGCGTGCAGTAGGATACAAGTTTATTTCCTTTTTTGAAATGACCTTGTCATTTTTTTCCTCTCTTCTTTGTTGGCTGTTATAAAGAATCCTGCTATGACCTGCTATGACCATGTTCAAGGACATTTATATAGAGGATACCTCAAAAAGCCAGGGTTAAATGTGGATTAGAAGTTAAGTAACTCTATCTTTTCCTGAGGCTGAGACTCTGGGGATGTGAGAGGTGATATACACCTCCCCTCCCTCAGTGGTGGCCCAAGGCTTCTGATGAGTCCTTTCCTCTCTGTCTCCCCTGTGTGTCTAAAACAATTTGTTGAGATTGAATAACAACTCAGTTATATTTACATTCTTAGGGCAGAAAGATGATACTAGGTCAGGAAATAGCATTTGGAGGTCATTCTGATTTGGAAGGATGAAGCCAAGATATGGCGGAAGCTGGGTGCCGGGAAAGGTCGGTTTGGGTAGACTGAACTTGTCCACAGCTGACCTACCTGCACAGATTTAGATCCAGAGCTGAAAAGAGGGAGCCAGCCTCATGAGCCCTCATACCCCAGCTTTCCTTCCTTGTCAGCTTTCTTCTTTTCTTGCCTCAACCCTTGCCCTTGCTTCCTGTCCTGCAGGTGGACTCTCTTCAAAGTTTCCTAACAGTGGATGACCTGGCTTTTGTTGACTTAAAGCAATAATACCAGAAAAAAAGGTGGAGGGGGGCCCAAAAGTACTTGCTGGAGATGTGAATTGTTTTAGGCAGCCACTTCATATTCTGTTTGGAATGAGTCACGGGTATAAATAAAAACACATTTTAGAACATTTGTTGAACAATTTCACTGAAGAAGTAAATATGTGAGTTAACCTTCCTTTTATTCTCCCGTTAATTTATTTTCCATGTTTTTTCTTTTTTAAATTAAAGCTTTAAGAAAGTAAAGAATGAAAATAGCCCTGATACGCAAGGAGGCAAATCTCACGCACCATGGCAAGAAAACGGCCCCCAGAGGTAAAGAGAATCATTGTTTTTCTAAAGGAGAACAGTAGAAATGGGATTAGTGATTGCAGCTCATTAAATAATGGAATCCAACTGCTTTGTGACTGGGTGTTACCAGCTATGGACAAGGCAGTCAGATTCCTAAATCAGCATGACGGAGAACTTTTGAAGTAGAAATCAGCAGGATGTATCCTAACGGGGAAACTTTCTCCTGGAAGACAGGAACAGAAACTATGCATTAAGACACTACCTGGAATGTCGTTATGATGGCTTAGAGTAAGAGAGTGTGTTTTTGAACTCTAAATGGCATATTAATGATAATCCCCTCTATTTTATAGTCCTTAAAAAACTGTACTTGAAAAGTGTATTTGAGGACTAATGATTCTTAGAAGAATTTTGTTCACAAAAATATCCATATATTCAGTTTCTCTCTGTCCACAAATACCAAACCAGCAACACACCAGCGTTATACCTTACTGGCTTTATAGTCGTGGTGATTCCAGGTACGATGACCCAGGGGTTCAAATTCTAACTCCGCCACTTCCTAGCTCCTTCGCTTGGGCTACTCAATTAAACATTCTGTATTTCCACTTTCTTTTCTGTTACATGGGCCTAATAATTGTACCTCAGTGCTTGTGGTTGATAGGATGATTAGCTAGGATAAGGAATATAAAGCTTTTAGCTCAGTCAGTGCCTGGCATAGGGTCAGTTTGCCATAAATGCAAATTGTTATTATTACCATCATTTGTGTGTTCATTTCTCACCATTGAAGGCCAGTGAGACAGATCTATTCCTGAAAGATAATGACTCTTAACGATTTGACTTGCCAGATCTTACCTCCCTTTTCTTTCAATAAATCTTGTCAGCAAAGAGAACTGTATGCCCATGATCCAGTATATCCCTGAGAGGGGGACACTTCTGTAGGTGGGGGCTGGGGTGTCTGCTCCTCCAGGGCCTCTGTGGGCATTGTTGATCTCGTTGACCCTTCCCCTTCTACTCCAGTGGACTCTATAACTCTCCCAATGACCGCGTGAAATCCCCGAAGTTCCCCTCCACGCGCCGCCGAAACCCCTCCTGTGGGAGCGACGACTCCGTACAGCCAACAAGGAGGAGGTGAGCTCAACATAGGCCCTTGGTTTTTAATTTTCAACAGAAGCTCTGGGTCCCGGTCACATTTTTGTCACAAGTTATTCTCATAATGTCATGACTGTCCTTCCAAGAATAACAGAAAGATTATGGTTTGTTTTTGTTTTTGTTTTTGAGATAAAATGAGCTAGGGATCCTGAAGCATTTCTCTTTAAACAGCCCAGGTTTCGGAGAATAATTTCATAAAGTACTGGTAGGAAACTTGCTTTCTGTACAGTAATTAAGACTGATAAGTTAAAAAATACACGCTATGTATCTATTTTAACAATATGTATTATATAGTATGTATAATATGTAATATATATAATATATATTATGTTAGTGATATAATTTAATAATATATTAGTGTTATATTTTTATGTATCAAAGATATTAAATGCTCTGACCTGAGAAGACACAATTACGTTTATAGGTAAATCTTAGCTGAGGCTTAGTACCCTGTTCTCCAGACTGATGTTGTTGCATACACTTGAGTAAAACCCCTTTCAAAACACAGGGAAAATGGATCCTGTTACATTTTACCCAGCAGGTCAGGTTGTTTTTGTGATTATATTTGCATGTACTTAATTTTTTTTTAAAAAGTCCATATCTAGAAGTTTTGGACTCTCTGGAAAGCAGTCTGGGCAATGTGACAGGTCCAAGAGAAGAAGACCTAGAAATGACCAGTGAAATTCATTTCATTCCTACTTCACAGACACTGTGTTTTACTTTGAGTACCTACATAATGGTATTTTGTGACTTTTATAAGTATGAGAAGTTCATGTCATGTTCTCATAACCATCAAGATCACTGTGGATCAGGGAAACAAAAGCCCTTCTTTCTTCTCTGCCCTTATTGATACTTACTTGCTGGTCCATCCCTGGTTCATTTCCTTTGGCTTCTGCATTTCCCAGAGTCTTGTTCCCCAGCTTTCTCAAACCAGGTCCAGCTTCACCGAAATCCTTTGATTGTTAAGGAGACAGGGGTCAACACACCTTCACCTAGTAGGTCTGGAAAGGGGGAGCTAAATCATGACCACCAGTGATTAGATAGAACCAAGGGGTAATAGTTGACATTTATTATGTTCCAAGGACTGAGCAAAATTGCTTGCTATATATTATCTGATCCTCATAATAACCCTCTGGAAAATGGCATATATATCCCTCAGTCACTAGGCATTTCCAGCAGAGAGGGATTAAGGCAGGGAATTACATGCAAGTTTGAGTAGCATTGAAGGAACTAAAGGCAGGGAGGTGCACCCTGAGATCTGGGTGCTGTACTGGCCCTGGACTGGCAGGATCAAAGCTATTTCTGCCTTGGAGCTGGCCTTCCTGAATCCATGCTTGCTGCCGATGTGGCTGTGGGCACCATCACTGTAGGAAATACTCTTGCTGCCACCGCCAGAGGCACCACCGCCGTAGCTGATGCTGTGGGGCTCCTACTTCTCAGGAGAGCAAGACTGAATGCCACGAGTGTGTCAGAAGCAAAACTGGTCCCCTTCTCTCCTGCCTTCACATCTCACCTGAGCACCTCTCTGAGTGGAACCCAGCTGGCAAAGGAGTCTGAGAAAATGTAGTTTTCAGGCTTCCAGTCTTGACAAAACAGGGGAGATTATAGGTGGGTTGGGATGGGGCTGCGTACCAGTGGAAGTTACTTGGCCTAGATGAGAAAACGGAGGCTGGGGGGCTGCAGGTAACTGTCCTTTGTGATTTGGATCCAAATCTGTTCATCTGTAAAAGGCAGGGATAATAAATCATCATTTAAATATAGAACAGGGGTTAAGATTTCTTGCCCTCCCTATTAAGGATTCGTTCGACTTGGACAGCACTTAAAACCGAGGCAATACCGCAGGGAAATACTTTAAAGTGCATTTGTATGTGTATGTGTGTTGAGGGGGCATGGGTAGTGGGAATCACTAAATATTTTAAGAATTTGGCACTGCATGATTATTGTTAAATAGGTTTTTATAGTTTTTCGTCCTTCATTACTAGTGTACTTTGACAGCATTCCCTAAATAATATAATTGCACATGTCGAGCAGATGGTCATTTTGATTTTAATATACTTGGAAATGAATTTATCAAGTTTTGCTAAAATATACCAAAATTTACATTAGTTTTTTCCCCAAACTAATTGCTTGAAATAGTTTGGAGCGTATACATTCTGAAATCTAGACCTCATGCCTTCTATATTGAGATACATATTTTTGTGTTGGCTTTCTGTGAACTACAGATGAGTAATTGTGGTGAGTGGATACAGGATCCTTTCTTTGGCACAGTCCAGGGGAAAGACTGTTTTGATTTGAAAGAAGAGAATCTTTTTGTCTGAGTAGCCATAGAGCCTTCTGTCTGGTTATGTGTACCACTTGAAAGGTCTTTTATTGGGCATGAGTGTTTTGAGGAGACTAGCCATTGCTACATGCTGGCAAAGAAGAGCTAAAGCTCGTTCTTCATTCCTTTCTACTGTCAATGCCCTCTGAATGTCCCTGTCCTTGTCAGTCTTGCTTTATCTTCACAGATATTTACCTTGCCCCCGAGCACAAATCCCTGCATGGCTAGAGTAACTCTGACATTTAAAACAGATTTGTCAACACCATGAAAGAATCTCAAGGACTTAAATTTAATAATAGGAAATTCTATTTTGTAATGGATGCCAGAATAACATGTTTTGCAAAAGATAACAAAATTTTATATTTTGCCAGTTGTTTGTCATTAGATGGGTACATCTTTCAAATTCTGGCTGAGTTTAGAACACTGGTCCTTAACCTTTTTGGGTGACAGAACTCTGAGAATCTGATGAAAGGTCGGATCATTCCTTAGGGGGGAAAAGTATATAATTAAATAAACATACACACTTTCATATAATTTTCATGGTTCATGGAGACCCTGAAGCCTGCTTGTTTTAAACATTCCTGTTCTAGAAAAAGCCAGCCAGCCTGCTTTCTGATTGTACAGTTTATTTTCACCCCTACCCATCTTTACACTCAGAAATGTCTATTGAGTGCCTACTTTATGCAGGCCCTGTGTTAAACAGCACTGGAGAAAGTCCCTGCCCTTTGGGAGTTTACAGTTTCTTGGGGAAGAAATACATGAATCATACAAACGCATGTGCACTTATGACTTTTATATATTCTTGGAGAGAGTTATGTGGTGCTTAGGGGAATTAAAAAAAAAAAACTTTATCGAAACCTAACATGCATACAGAAAAGTACACGTGTCCTAAGAATAACTGCTTGATAACTTTTACCATCCAAATACCTGTATTACCAGCACCATGATGGGAAGTTTTGCTGCATTACTGAGTCAAGGAGGTCAGGGAAATGTTCTCAGAGGCTAGATGCTTGAGCTGGAATTTGAGACAAGAACAGGCAAAGAGAGGTGAAGGAGCTAGCAAGTGCAGAGGCCTTAGGGTGGAAGGGAGTGGGGAATAAATGAGTCCAGAGAGAAACACCTCATAGGACACCTGAGGATTTGGGTTGTTAGGCCCAGTAGTTTTTAGAAGGGCGGTGATTACAAGATCACGTTTGTACTGTGTAAAGATGAGCCTTGCTGTCCTGTGGAGAAAAGGTTGAAGAGAGCAGTAGGGGAAAGAGAGAGCCAGCCAGCAGACTACCATGTGAGTCCTGGCAAAGGCTAATGGGAGCTCAGGCCAAGGTGGTGATGTGGAGATTTAAGGAAGTGGGTATTTTGAGACCTGTTGGCAGGTAAAATCAATAGGGCTGGGAGGTTTGATATGACAGGTGAAGGAGTAACTGATGTCAAGAATGAAAACCAGGCTTGAAGTGTGATGCACTGAAATAACAATCTGGGATGTTACAAGCTTGAAAGGGATGATTGTGAGTGGTTTTTGATAGATTGCATTTGTGGAATCTTTGAGAAGTCCAAGTGCAGGATCCACATGGATTGTTGGATATAAGTCTGGAGATAGATTGGCTATTGGCTAAAATTTAAATTTCTTAAAGATGTAAATTGAAATATGAAACAGAGTTAAGACTCTCTAGGTAGACAGCAGAGATAGAATGCAAAGACCAAGCCAATGACAGAGCTGGGAGAAATTCCAGCATTTATTTGGCTTGGTTGAAGAGAATTATGTTCAGAGGAAATTACTTTTAGAGAAAAGAGACAGAGACATTTTGGCCACAGGAAAAATCTAGAGTGAAAATCTGCTTATGAAAGAGCTCCCTTTCTTCTTCATTCCCAGAACACTAGAAGCCAGATACGTATCTCCCAAGCATGAGATCAGAGAATCTCACTGTAAGAAAGACAGATATAAGAGAAAAGACATACAGATACCAACTTTCAAAGTATCCACCAGTGAAATAGTTGAGACTGCCCACATCACTTTGCTCCACATTGCAGTGAAGCCATCAGTTAACATTCTCTTGCACCATCCAGAGGGTTTCAGTCCTTTTAGTGCCTAATTCTTAAATATGAAGAGAGAGCCGTAATCACTTGGCATTTGATGATAGCTTCTGTTTGGACAGACAGAGACTGAAACAGACAATGAGCAGTGGGTGTGTGTGCATGTGTGTACTCACAGGAAATAGAGACAATATAAGAAAAATGTCTTAAAGGTATAATTATCGTTTTTTAAAGAAGATTTTATTTATTTTTTTTATTTTTTGAAAAGATTTTATTTATTTATTTGACAGAGAGAGACACAGCGAGAGAGGGAACACAAGCAGGGGGAGTGGGAGAGGGAGAAGCAGGCTTCCTGCAGAGCAGGGAGCCCAATGCGGGGCTCGATCCCAGGACTCTGGGATCATGACCTGAGCTGAAGGCAGATGCTTAATGACTGAGCCACCCAGGCGCCCCTAAAAAGGACTTTATTTCTTTGAGAGAGCGAGAGAGCGCGTGAGAGCACGAGGTGGGGGAGGGGCAGAGGGAGAGGGAGAAGCAGACTCCCTGCTGAGCAGGGCTCAATCCCAGGACCCTGGGATCATGACCTGAGCCGGAGGCAGATGCTTAACTGACTGAGCCACCCAGGCGCTCCCAAAGTATAATTATCTTGAGAAAAAAATTTGATATCAAAAGAGAAGAACAAGTAGGAATTCTTAGACCTCAAATTCCTGTAGCAGAATTTAAAATAATTAGTAGAAGGTTTGGAAGATAAAGTTAAGGAAATCATCCCCAAAGTAGAACAAAAATAAAACAGATATATGGAACATAAGGATAAACAATTATCAAGCCTGGATATCAAACATTTGAGTAGTGAAATTTCCAAGGAAAAAAAAATGCAGAAGAGGAAACTGTTAAAGAAGTAGTACAAGAAAATGTCCCAAACTGAATGATCAAACGTTATAGAGAAAAGCTATGGAGCATTTGGTGTAATAGACTGGAAAATTAGATCCAGACCAAGATCCAATATCATTAAATTTCAAAACATTGTAGGTTAAGAGAGAATTTTTAAAACTTCCAGGAAGGGAGGAATATGAGAGAGAAAAAGTTCATGCACAAATGTTGACAAATCAGGATGGTGGCATTGGGCTCCTTAACAGCAATGTCAGAGAAAGAAAATAAGCATTGCCTTCAAAACGCTGAGGGAGATTCTTTTCAATTTCGGATTCTAAGCCCAGAAAACTATAATTACGTGTGTCAAAGATATTTTGAGAAATTCCAGCTCTCAAAAGAAAAGGTACCTGCCATGCAGACTTTCTCTGTTAACAACTGGAAGATACGTTCCTCCAAAACCAAGGCAAGCAGTCAGGAGAACTGGAAATATGGGATTCATCTTACAAAGAAGCAGAAGGAATTCCCTAGATCATGGTGAAGGGAGTAATCAAAGTGACGTTTGTACAGCAGTACTAGGGAACAGATTATCTAGATGTGAGCAGGGGGGCACAGGGCTCCAGGGAAGATGTTAGTGGAACTTGTAGATTACCTAATTATTCACCCATCTCAGGAGGATTTTTGCAGCTCTCAGAGTTTTGATGAAGAATTAGTGATAAAACAAGGAAAACTAAGCAATTATTATCTTTAAGAAAATTGTAAAACCTATACAAGAATGGAATTGCATTCCTTCAACGCTGTAGAGATCATCTGTGAACAATATATAATTATATTTATACCAGGTAAAAATTATTGGAAAATTTGGTGTAAGGACAGAGACCTATCAACGTTATGTTGTTTGATGTAAGTATGTTTGTGAAGTGGGGGAACGTATGTCATGATGATGGCATGAAAGAGCCATGTCTGCCCAACCAGGGTGAAGGCACATATGATGAAGGGTAAAGAAACAGAGACAAGGGGCTTAGGCACCTCTCTCAAGAAGTTTGGTGCTTTGAAAGAGAGAGGAGAGACTGGGAAAAAAATGAAGGGGGATATGGAGTCAAGCAGACGTGTGTGTGTTTATTTTTTTTTTTTAAGATTTTATCAATTTATTTGAGAGTGAGAAAGCACAAGCGGTGGGGAGGGGCAAAGGGAGAGGGAGAAGCAGGCTCCCTGCAGCCCACGCAGGGCTCGATGCCAGGACCCCGAGATCATGACCTGAGGCGAAGGCAGACGTTTAACTGACTGAGCCACCCAGGCGCCCCGTACATGTGTGTGTTTAAATAGTAGAAACTTGATAATGTGAAAAGCTGGTAAGAGAATTTTCCATATGGACCAGTTGAATATATCTGAGAGGTAGGAGGGTAGTTACTGAAAGTCATTGAGAAGATGAGAGGGGATGGGACCCAGACAACACAGGTGGAGGGGCTAACCTTAGTTGTAAGGACAGATCTGTAAATAACACAGAAGGAGTTGTAGGCAAGTGCTATTTTTGGTAACAGGAAGATGAAAGAGTTGCCATCTGATGGCTACTTTTTCTTTGGAAGGAGAAAACGAAGTCCGCTGCTGATGCAGAGGGACCGGTTTATCAAAGGGTTGCGAGGTAAAAAGAGTTTGAAACTGCTTTGCAGAGAGAGAGAGAGTACTTAGATCAGAGAAAGGTGGGAAGCTGTTATGGATTCAGGGAGTGGGGGGAAAGTTTGTGAACATGAGTTTGTAGTATAACTCATGTGTCCTTCTGTTGTAACTCCCTCCAGCACCGGTCAGCCAGCTGTTGAAGGCCGGCTCAGAAAACCTGGATGTTTTGATTTACCCATGCGTGGGATCTTGCCAGAAATACTGAACCAAAAACAGAGAATTGGAGGAAGTTTTGAGTACTGGCATACATGTTATCAAAATGATGGAAAACTCAGTGGAGTCAGGGAGGAAATGAAGAAAGGCCAAGGGGAGCAGATGGGAAGTAGCAAGGTCGATGAACAAATAGTTCTATTGAAGTCAAAGAAAGTAGAAGGGAAGTCATGAAAACGAGCAATAATAATTAGAGCTAACATTTATTGGTTGCTTCAGTAAGCCAGGTCCTACTCTGTGCATTTTAAATGTATTCATTTTATCCTCATAACAACCCTTTGTGGGAGGTTCCATGAAAACTGAGGCACTTAGTAGAGAAGTAGTTTGTTGGAATCACACACCTTATCGGCGGAGGAGATGGGACCCACCTTCAGGTTGTCTGGCTCCAGATCCGCATGTTTAACCAGGATGCCCCATCAGAGCTGTTCAGGAGTGTAAATAGGAAGGGGAGGAGATTGTGGCCAGAGACCAAAGTGTTTGGAGGTGGTTACAGATGAGAAAGTCCAAAGTGTGGCCATGATGTGGGCTGCTGAGTTATTGTGAAGAGGTTATTAGAGAAATGGTCAGGGGCCTTGGAGGCCAGGGTGTTGGAAAGGGCATGTGAGTGAGAGCTGATGTCAGTCAGATTATGGCAGAACTGGACTCGTCGGATTATAGTTGTAGGAACTGCAGACAGTCCCATCTTTGGGTGAATCATACTTCACAGACATGCTGTGCATTGTTGTTGGTAGACTGCAGCCTCCTTGAGGTTGCTGGCTTTTTGAGGCTGGTTGGTGATATGTTCTACTTCTGGAATTGGGCATATTGTGTGATTTAAAAATGAACGAATACAAAACAGATATACGTGAACTGAAGTGAAACTCATTTTGCTGTGCTTTCTTTAGCCAATGGATAATTTTCTATTTTTTTTAATATCTTCATTTATTTGTTTTCTATAGGAAAGCCCATAACAGTGGTGAAGACTCAGATCTAAAGCAAAGGAGGAGGTAAAAACAAAAATGGCAGGAGGGACAGGGAGAGGGAGGAAGGATTAGCATTACTCAGAGTGGAAGCCAGAGTGGCGGTTGTTGTTAGTGACTCCTTTGAGGTCATTATAGAAGAATTAACTTGGAGATATCAGCTTTGGCTTCAGTTCGTTCTCAGTCTTCCATTCTGTAGCATCCTTAGCAATTTCTTTTTTTCTGCTTTTTTGTGTCGCACAGGAGCTATCTTGGTTATCTATCGCTACCTTAAAATCACCCCAAAACTTAGTGGCTTAAAGCCACAACAACCATATATATGTTGTATGATTCTGTTGATTGAACAGGCTAGTTTTGCTAGTCTCATACGCAGCTGCAGTCAGAGGGCAGTGGAGGCTGGAATATTCAAGAGACCTTTCTCTCTCCTGTTTGATGTCTTGGCAAAATGGTGGGAGGCCTGAGGCTTCTTTCTCTCCATGGCCTTTCTACCTGGCTGGCCTCGGCTTCTTGAGATGGCTCCAGGAGGAAGCAGGAGCTACCCACTCTGTGAAGAGACAGATAGTCCAGGAACTGGCAGAGAGTAGCCCTTCCACATCATTCTGTTGATAAAGTCAGTCACAGGACCAGTGCTAATTCCAGGGGAGGGGAAATAAGCTCTACCTCTGTTGATATGGGCGGGGGGTGTGACAGTACTTTGTGTTCATATTTAGTCCACTTCAGGGGCTTAGGGCTTTGCCGTGGCAGAGTTCTGTTGGAAATGCTTGATTTCGTGGTCTTTTTGGGGAGTAGGGTGACATTTGCCCTAATCTACTTTCACGTGTCTGTAATCTCATTCAGATGTCTGACTGAACTGGGGAGCACTGACTGAGGGAGGGATAATAATAGCTACTGATGTTTGGATTAGTCATTTTATTGCAAAATTCATTCTGAAGAACCAACATGAACCTTTCTGAAATTTTTTATTTGTCATAAATGTGGGTTTTTTTTTCTTTTGTTCTTCTCATTTTGTCTTCAGGTCACGCTCACGCTGTAACACGAGCAGTGGGAGTGAATCAGAAAATTCTAATAGAGAACACCGGAAAAAGAGAAACAGGTAATATTTGATACTGCAGTTATCTGGAACTCCAAAATCAGAGGTTGCTGGTGGTGGTAGAAGCTGTGCATCCTATTTCTTTTTCTTTTTTCTTTTCAAGATTTATTTATTTGACAGAGAGAGAGAGGGAGAGAGCACAAGCAGGGGGAGGGTCATAGGGAGAGGGAGAAGCAGGCTCCCTGCTGAGAAGAGAGCCCCATGCGGAGCTCTATCCCAGGACCCTGGGATCATGACCTGAGCTGAAGAGAGACGCTTAACGACTGAGCCACCCAGGCACCCCTTTTTCTCATCTGTGTTTAAGAAGGAATCTGGCACTGTTTTGAAGCACTGTTTTAGGAAACTGCAGCTCTTTGAACTGAGTTTCTTATCTTTATAATAAGATGATTAAATAAGTTGATGATGAGGGTCCCTTCTTGTTAATTAAAAAAAAAAGATCTATATTTAGGTACAACGTGTAGTGAATTTGTCTAAGGATGGTAAGAAATGTGACCATTTCTAGAGGTATTTCTCTCTGAAGTATCTTTTAACGTGACATTACTGTCTTTTGTCCAGCCAAAACTGAGAGACTCCTTATTTCAAAAATTTCATAGTCTCAGCCTCATACGTGTACATGAACATAATGTGTTTATATTCATGTCAGGCACATACAGTTAGATGGCTAAATGCAGGTAGTTCATATCTTTAAGACTCATTTTTTAAGGCTAATTGTTGGGTAATAATATCATTTGACATGTAATCCGTATTCATGATGACTTAATGCTTTAATCAGTTCTCTCTGGTCCCAACATATTTATTTAAAAACGAGTGCTCACTTCGTGAAAGAACACCATGTTGGGAGTGAGAGGGATTGGGTTGCTGGTTGTCCCGGTTTCTAACCCAGTGGTTCTCAACAGGGGGCAATTTTGTCTTGCCTCTCCACTCTCAGAGGATGTTTGGCCATGTTTTGAGACACTTTTGATTGTCACAATTGGGTAGGGGGACCACTGTTGGCCAGGGGTGCTGCTAAATATCCTGCAATGCACAGGACAGCCCTCTCCCCACCCAAGAAGTATCTGGTCCAAAAGATGTCAGTTGTGGCACTGCTGAGAAACCCGTTCCCAGTGTGATGTGGAGCGCTGGCCTCCTTGCTTTGTTTTTCTGGGTCGTATTTTTTCCTTCTGGAAAGTGAGGTAGTCTGATGAGATAATCTCCAAGGTCCTTCTTCAGTACTTGGAGCCCTTGTGCTTGGCACACATTGAATTGGCTTGCCTAACAATAAAGCCTGTGTACTAATAGGCCAGACAGCATTGCAAGAGTGGGTCATTTTCTTAGGAAAGCTTTCTCTGTGGAGCCTTCTTAGGGGCTGGAGTCACACTAGGTAGAGGTGAGATCTCAATGTGTTAGGACACCTTTCCCAAGGAAATGATGATAGTTTCTTCATTTGTCAAAACCCAGGTGTGGAGGGTAGCTTTCCCTGAGGTACCCTCTTCCTGCTGTAAAATTTGGTATCTGCATAAACCACACAAAACAAAGCAAAAAACAAATAACAAATTTTCCTCCTGTTTGTACTTACTGATCAAGCCAGTATTTTAACACCTCTGTTTCTGTTTTGCTTGTTGTATTCCAAGTTGTGCTCATAGATGCTTCTAGTCTCAACTTCTCAGAAGGTGGCCTGTTTAAAAACATTGTCTTTTGGGGCCAAAAGTGCTCATGGTGTCATTTGCTGTTATTATGAAACACCGTTTAAAGGTGGCCAACAAAGGTGGCCAGTTGCACGAGCTTTAATATTCCTCATAGGTGTTTTCTCCCTCACCAGTTTCTCCCTTTGCCCTCCCTAAAGGATTTTGTAGATTGGCTTTCTTTATAGGGTCTTAGTGGTGTGTTTGAGAATGATGGTGGTTCTGAATGTTGGTTCACATGCCAATGTACTTTGTAAGCCTATTAATGAGAAATTGTTTTCAAAACACACTCTGACCCAAAGGCCTTCAGACTCATTTATTTTACCTGTAGAAATACTGCCCAAAGGTTACGTAAGTTGCCTGTGTTTATAGAAGATGAGGTCTAGGGTCTAGCTCTCGGGGGCATAGCAAAAACTGGGCAGAGGGAAAAATACGTCTTCCATTTCCATTCTCCACTCCTGAAAATTCTGGTGCAGAGGTGACAGTGTGCAGGGAAGGAGGGGGGCAGACACATTATACTGTCTCTGGGCGCTGCTTCCTCATTATGTTCTGTTTCCGCTAACCCCTTCTTCCCATTATTAGCCTTTTAGATTTTGCCAGAGCCCATTCATTCCACATCAGAGATCTGAATATTTAAACTGCAGCCCTTCTGACAGTCCCAATATGTCTTCTGTCTGTGACGAAGGGTTGTCTCCTCCTGTCTGACTTCCAGCTTATTCAAAAAACTCCTTTTTTGGGGAGAGGATGAATCTCTTCAGCCTCATCCCGCCTTACCTCAGCCAGCAGTGTGACACAGCCAAGCTCTCAGCAGCATCCTTTGTGCTTTTATGAAAGGAACCTGGTAACCCTAGAATGGGGCAAACTGAACCCTGAACATGCTGATGTTCTACTTCCTGCCGGCCAAGTCTCTAAATTCAGTCCGAATACTTCATTACCTTTGAAACCAGAGCCTGCACTTGATACATGCTGCCTTCCTGTCCCCCTGTGGGAACTGAAGCCTGGGGCAGTGGGGAAAAGACTGTGCAGATTTGCTTTTTGAACATTTTGAAGTCTCTTGTGTGTCCAGTAGAACTCTGGGCAGACTCAGATTTACTTTTTTGGAGATTGTGTGTGGTCTTTGTAGTCTTTGGGGTGTTGTTCCCTCTGTCATTCCTTTTTGCTGGAATTTTTTTTTTTTTACAAGGATAGTTTAGATTTTATTTATTTATTTTTGTGTGAGAGAGAGAGTGAGCATGAGCTGGGTGATGGGGCAGAGGGAGAAGCAGATTCCCCGCTGAGCAGGGAGCTTGACTTTGGATTCTATCCCAGGACCTGGGATCCTGACCTGAGTTGAAGGCAGACGCGTAACCAACTGAGCCACCCAGGCGCCCGTGGATTTGTGTGTGTGTGTGTGTGTGTGTGTGTGTGTGTGTGTGTGTGACACATAAGGAAGTCTTACCTGTTAGGTTTGAGGCCACTCTGGAAATACTGGGTTTGGTTTTTTGTTTTGTTTTTCCACAATGTCTACCTGTTGGATCTTAAGCCCCTTCACTGTTCTGGCAGATAACAATGTAAACATCTCTTATTTTGTCTGAGGAGAAACACAAGTGAACGCAACAATGTTTACAAGTCAACTTTACCCAAAGCAGTAGCTGTGTGGCTTTTCACAACCATTAAAAGTAAATAATAGTAACTCATACCAACACTGGGAGGCTAATATTAGGAACAAGGATTGCTGTTTAAGCCAATTCCGATTTTAGAAAAGTGTAGCTGCGGGTAAGCAGGTCCACTGTCCCTTTTGGGTCCAGAGCTGCGGAGGCCAGACGCGCAACGGTCCTCTTGTCGGTTGTGTGTTCACGCCTGCGTTTCGTTCCACATGGTTCCCTGCGGCACCAGGAGGCTCGGCTTCTTCCTTGATCTGCTGGGTTGTTGATGTCGTTCTTTACACCTTTCCGTCTTAGTTGTTTTCCCTTTACTATTTTTATAACCTGGACGAGTATCCTACAGTTTTCTAGGTTTTGAGATTTGAGAAGACAGTTTGTTACTCCTTTTTTTTTATACCGAGCTGGACGTTGGGGCACCATCTGTTGTTGGGATCCTGATGTCGTCTAAGAGGACAAAGGCTTATTTTCCCCTTAGTGCCCCTGCTTCTGTCGTCATCTCCATCCCTTCCTCTCACATTGTTTTTCCTCACTTAGTTCCTTCCTTTTTCTTTCCTTAGCTTTTCTCTACTCTGTCTTCCTTTCTCTTGTCTTCTCTGAGTTCTGCCTCCGCTTAGGAGCCAGGGAAGCGTCAGAAAACACCCCCGAGAGTGTGGACCGGGGCCTTGGTTCTGTCCTGTCCTGGTACTTGACCTTAGGCAACTCTTGGAACCACTTTGAACCTGAGTTTGCTCATCTCTGAGGTGGGGTGTACACTCCTGTCTGTTACCGCGGGGGGCACAGCAAAGATCGCTTGAAACTGAGAAAGGGAGAGCACTTGACGGTGCAGCCATACGGTCTGATATTTGGCCTTGAAGTCAGGCTCTTCTTGGCCTGTCCCCCCTCCCTTCCACCCTTTTTCCAGCTTTCCCCACTTTTCTTTAGTCCTGCCTTCCTCACTCCCGCCTCCGCTACCTTTACACACATGGTTCTTTTCAGATCAGGCCTTCTTAGTCTCTGATTCATCAGTAGGCTTTAGGGATCTCATGAAATTGTATTTAAAATTCTGTGTGTTTCCAGGTGTACAGTTTTCTGGTGATAGGGTCTGTAGCCTTAATCTGATTCTTGAGTGGGGCGTCTTTGTGATCCCCAAACATTTATCAAGGGATCATTATGACCGAAGTAGAGAAGGATAGATTGATACCGGGAAATGAAATTGATATTTCAGTTCACTGGTAGGATTAACAGCTAAAATTCTTCAGTTTTCTTTAGAGATTACTTCCTTTGCTTTACTGATTTGTGAAATAATTGGTTCGACTAAATTCATCAAGTTGGGAACCTACCAAGTACAAGGCAGTATGAAGAAGCTAATGATCTATAGGAATATTAGATTATATCCATTTTCACTAGTTAGAATTTTTATTCTTACACCTGAGATCAGAAGGCTCAGCCAGCCTGTCTCTGTAGGTCTGAGCCTATGAGCCTTGCTCAGGACTTGCCCAGGATGTACGCTGAAGGAGAACCAAGGGAGTAGACTTTTCAGAGTGAAACCTTTCACAAGCTGAGATTTCCCTTAAAATACCTTGGGCTTAATAAAATATCCTTTACATTCAAAGAAACCAGTCTGCAAGATATCCTTTGTGCTATTGATGGAAACAGGCAGTCAGTCCTTTGAGCATTCGTTCACTGGGGAGAATCTGTGGATTACTTAGTCATTAGCTTT